AACTCTAGGATTCTATGGTTCTATGAACATAAATGAATTTCATATTTAGACAGTGCCACCTCCAAGATTTCATGTATATACACAAATATTTAAAAAAACCTCTAAAATTCCAAATACCTTTGGTCCCAAATATTTTGCATAAGGGAGATTCAACCTTTAGATGTGTCCTTAGGCATTATTATTATTTTAAAAGAAAATTTGGTACCAGAGGCAGAAAGAGAAGGATAGGTTTTAGTCCCAAACCTTTTGTATAAGGGAAACTCAACCTGTATATATAATAGAAAAGAAGAAGAAAGAACCTATAACCCTGTAAAATAATAATAATAATTTATTATGTCATTTTGTTTGAGAAATATTAGAATAGCAAAGAACAAAATGTATGAAAGGAAAAGAATTGTGAATGAAACTGATCAAATAATTCAATTCCTATGGGAGTAAAAAGAAAGAGGGTTTGGGAGAAGGGTTTATATAGGGGGGAGGGAATGAATAACATATTTGGGGTAATGTTAATGTCGATTGATACTGTGTTTTAAAAAATAATAATAAAAAAATCAGATCCATTCCACCAGCAGCACAGAGAGAAGTTAAAGCAGGGGTAGGCAACCTAAGGCCCGGGGGCCGGATGCGGCCCCCCGAAGCCTTTGGACCAGCGCCAGGCCGGTCCTGCCGCTGCCGCCGCCACCCGCCATGATGATATTGATTATTGTTGTTATTACTTGTTCTTGGGGTTTTCTTGGCAAAATCTCCACAAGGATTTTGCCATGGCTTTTCTGGGGCTGAGAAAGTGTGCATGCATATTGTTTTAATTTTTTAAAAACAATTATTTTTATATTTATTTATTTATTTGTTTGTTTTTGGTGCTTCGGACCCCCTAATTGTCTAAGGGACAGCAACCCGGCCCCCGGCTCAAAAAGGTTGCTTACCACTGAGTTAAAGCTACAGGTAGCTTTTGCTATTTTGTTTTCTTTTACTGTTTTGTTTCATGCTTGTTTATTCACAATAAAAAAAAATTATTTTTTTAAAAAATGTGATAATATGAAAAGTGAAAAGCAAAAAGCTCAAGAGATCAGCCAAAACTAAACCTAGATATCATTTGGGGGAAAGTACTTTACAATGGGATAAATTTGGGATCCTTCTGGAGTGTGCGTGTGTGTATCTACCCACTTTTAATTTTGGAAAACTCTGTTTATTCCCATTTCCCTCTGCAAGGGGATAGATAAATCCCCATTGCACCAAGCTACCCCTATATATATATATATAGGGGTAGCTTGGTGCAATAGGGATTTATATCTTAGAAAATGGTTGGTTACAAGGAGGGGTATTAAAAATTGATCTTTAAGGGAGAGGAAAAACCTTATAGATGTTTGCATGGATCAGTCCCCCAATTTTTAGGATTGCAAGAGGAAATTTGGGGAGTGGGTGAGATGGGGGTCCCCCCTTTTTCCCTTCCATTGAAAGCAATCTCTTGATGCCCATCCTTTTCCTCCTTAATCTGACATCTTTAAATCTTTACCTCTTTGTCTTCCTCTTGCCATGTGCTCTTCCTCCTCTTCCTCCTCCTCACTGAATCTTTTGTCCTCCAATTCCCAATTCATCTTTTTAAACATTTAATGCCTCTCTAGGAACTGGTGCTCAGCTTCCTTAACCCTTGCAACAGTTTTTGACAGCTTGCATTATGCATTTTGTGCATTTTGGTTGGCCACATAAAGGTATCCCTCTTCTGGATTTGGGATGTTATTGTACTTTGCTACATGGATATGGTTTCTTGGAAGAGTGAGTGGAAGGATCTTTCTACTCTCCTCTCCTTGGTTGGAAAGTTTAGCCTAAGACACCAGATTTAGTCTGATCTTGGAAGCTAAGCAAGGCCAGCCCTGGTTAGACCTTGGATGGGAGACCACCAACCAATATCAAGTGCTGGAAGGCTATATTTCAGAGGAAGGAACTGGCAAAACAACCTCTAAGCATTCCTTGCCTAAGAAAACCCTATAAAATGTATGGGGCCCCTGTAAAGGTGAATTGAAGGCATACACACACACACACACTAACCATTGCTTTAAATGCCCTAAAAAAGGCACCAGATCCTGTCTGATCTTGGAAGCTAAGCAGGGCCAACTTTGGTTAGTGCTTGGATGGGGGACCACCAAGGAATGCCAGGTGCTGCAGGCTGTATTTCATAGATAGAAACTGGCAAAACCACCACTGAGGAGCCCTTGCTTAAGATAACC